GCACCACTGAAAAGAGTCTGGCCCCATCCTCCTGACACCCACCCTTCAGATATTTGTAAGTATTTATTAGGTCCCCTCACAGCCTTCTCTTCTTCAGGCTGAACAAGCCCAGCTCACTCAGCCTCTCCTCGTAGGAGAGATGCTCCAGTCCCCTTACCATCCTCGTAGTCCTCTGCTGGACTCTCTCCAGTAGCTCCTCATCTTTCTTGAACTGGGGAGCCCAGAACTGGACACAGTACTCCAGATGAGGCCTCATTAGGGCAGTGTAGAGGGGAAGGAGAACCTCCCTCGACCTGCTGGCCACACTCCTCCTAATGCACCCCAGGAGGCCATTGGCCTTTTTGGCAGCCAGGGCACACTGCTGGCTCATGGTTAACCTGTCGTCCACTAGGACACCCAGGTCCATCTCCACAGAGCAGCAGCTCTCCAGCTGGTCCGCCCCAAGCCTGTACTGGTGCATGGGGTTGTTCCTCCCCAGGTGCAGGACCCTGCATTTGCCCTTGTTGAACCTCATTAGGTTCCTCTCTGCTCAACTTTCCAGCCTGTCCAGGTCATGCTGAATGGCAGCATAGCCTTCTGGTGTATCTACCACACCTCCCATTTTGGTGTCATCAGCAAACTTGCTGAGGGTAAGAGGGTAAGAGACTGTTCTTTAGATGACATGTAGTAGCCCTGTAGAATTCCCTACCAAAGAACAATGATTGCTAACAGCTTGCATGGCTGCGAAGAGAGATTGAACAAGTACATCAAAGAGAAATGCATAACTAAATATACAGCACCACGTCGAGCTCAAGCAGCCCTGGACTAAAAATATCTGGAAGCTAGAAAAAAGCACGTAGCATTACACACCCTGCTCTTCCTTAGGCATTTACATATGACAAGTGCTGGAAACAGGAGAGTGGATGAAACGGATCCTCAGAGGGAACACAGCAGGGGGAGGGGAGTGGAGGGAAGGGAACATCATTATGTCCTAACAAAGTCTGTTTCCATTCACAGGAAAGCTGATCCTGGCAGGCCATGAAGTACAAGTTGGAAGGGAGGCTTAGGAGTCTTCATTTTACTGGAACTGAAATTCTGCATAGAATCCAATTACCTTTACATTTTGGTATATTTTTAAATGTAAGTAGAAGAGAAACAAACACTTACATCTCCCCACTGGTAGAAGAGCTTAGCTGCATTCCACTGCAGCTTCTGGTTCCTTTTATTGCCCACGATAGGAGAACGCCCACGGGACAGCCCTTTCTTAGTAATGTTCACGTGGTGGCCCTTCATCCACTCGGGCCAGTTGCCACGATTGCAGCGGTGAACGAAGCGCGCACACTCAAGGAACAGGGATGCTCTTGCCACTACAGGAGCTTCCTGAAACATTTGCAGAAAATCACCTTAAATACAAATACATTGGAAAAACTCTTTAAACATTAGAGGATGCTGCATTTTAATAAATTGCTTCACAAGTTTGCCATGAAGTCACACAGACTGAGCAATCTCTCCATCAGAGTCTGAAACCAAGATCTCTGCCTGGAGTCACATCTCTTGAGTTAACAAAAGCAAGGCTTATAAACACTGAACAGTTACACTTAGTCCAACCACTAGTGGGGCAGAAAGAGCCACATCATAAAGTTACAAACAACCTTGTTTCAGTACCCCTCTGTAATCCTGTGTTTCAGAAACCATGTAACTGTCAAAAAGCAGAAGCGTGCATCTGACACTTTACTGGACAAACAAGTCAAGTTTTCTTTTCACCTTTGCTAGTAAGGCTGTGAATATTGCAATTGCAAATGGCAGTGTGGCCACATGAATCCTAGCATTTGTCATGTTGAGTTCTACTTGTGCATCTTGGGGGTGGAAGCATGAATGGAGGCTTGCTGAAACTAGGATGAGTGCTATTTTGCACTTACAACAAGCAGATATGGAGAGTGAAATCCGTTACTGGTGTAAGTCAACAAAATTTCACTGGTCTTACTTCAAAGGCCTTAGCAAGGATCAGACAATTTAGTATTGAAACTCAACACCAGGCAGCTGAATTTCGAAGTGATGGCTTTGACTGTATTCCAGGGGAAAATCCTCCTGCCTCCAGCTTGGAAGAGCACTTTTCTTTAATGGGAGATATGATATTGAGTCTATTTCAGTGTGTATTAAATGCTCCAGCAGGATCTGTGTTACACCATGAAGCATCTCTCCAACGTGTTCAAAAATGGACACTGTAACGCGTTTCCTAAAGGGTAGCTTAGACTCAGCAAGGAGCTGTCTTCCCAGCAGTCTACAGATCAGCAAAAATAGCATCTTTACAGACATGGAAAGTTACTAAAAGCAAATGGTTCTCCTCATTTCCATTTAACTTCCCCCCTCTCTTCCTGCAATTTTCACAAGCAAAAACCCCTGTGGCCAGCAGGTTGTAAAAAAACCAAAAAAACACACAATGTCCACAATTCACAAGCTGTCTTTGAATGGTTCCCTAACAGGGATTTCACAGAGCACAAACGTGTGTGTTCCACACATTTAGATGCTGACAGTTCTAAGAAGACTATTTAAACAGATCAGTATCTGTTTATAAGGGGAGGTTCTTCATCTGTGGTCCGTAAACAACAGATGGCCTTGAGACCATGGAAGATGGTCTGCAGGTGATCTGTGGAACACTATCAAGCAGTGTCTCTAACAGTGCTTTAATCAAAAGTTGAAAGCAAGAAATTTTGGACCAATGCTCCAAAAGTTTGGGAACTGATTTAAGAAATTCTGTACCACAGCTACACTTACAGCCAGAAATTACTATCAACAGGACTGAAAAATGTCATGTCTTTTTAGGGGACTGGCAAAAACAACAAAGAAAAAGGATTATGTTTTGTCTACATTACAAGAAAACACATATTAATTGCTTCCTGACACAGCATCCTGTTGCAGCTTTTTGTTTGTTTTATTCAAATGTTGGAAGAAAATAGCAATCTTTTAGCAATTCTCTTGAATAAGGAGAACATTAAAGATGGCCCAATGCTCTGATGAGGAAGGCAGAAGTCTGAAGACAGACACTTACAACCAGCAACAAAACTATTATCTAGCAGCTGGAAAAAGCATGACAGATTACTTGTTGCTTACATGCAATATAGAACACAGAATAGGTGAGGTTTTTATTCTTTTATTCTCACAGAGTAAAACCTTAGCCAGACCTGTAGACATACATAAGAAGATGAAGCCCCAGCCTTGGTTTCCTCCTGTTTTAGTTCACCACTGGTAAAGTCACAATTTCTTGGCATATAGGAATGTTGTAAAGATTCATGTTGTAAACATCATGGAAGCAATCAACTACTCTAACTAAACTAGGATATGTAGGATGGGGGGTAAAGGGGAGGAAGGGTGTGTCCTTGGAGCAGGAGTTCCAAAATCACTGAAAAGATCTCCTCGTGAAGGAAGACCTTCTGAATATCGTGGGGCACAGGCTCCCTGCAGTTGCTTACCTGAGGCTCAGAGAAACCTGGAGCAGCAGCAAGAGAAAGATGAAGATGTAACAGAATGGACAGGGATGGATTCACACCACAGAGAAACACATCACAAATGGAGAGAAATGAATCAGGCAGGCGATGCATAGCTGAAAAGAACACAAGTTACCATGATCACTGTCAAAACTTAACACAGCAACAATACTCTCATAAGCCTGCCCATGCCTGTGAAACTGTTCACAAGTCCACTTTTAACATTAGACCTACTATATTGCTTTGCCTTCTGAAAATCGGTCTTCTACTATATAAATTGGCATGAATAAGAATCCACCATTTTCTTAACAAAATTTCAAGTACTAACTTCGAAGCTTTTCAACAGATACACTGATTTGCACTAATAACAACAAAAGCAATAACCTGGGTGAGAGGGAGCAAATACAGAATGGATTTGGAATTTTACAGCATCACATTACTGATCAAGTACAGCAGATTCTGCAGATGTGTAGGTCCAGTTTTGTTTTCAAGGACAATGAATTTTATAAGACTAATCTACCAGTGGTAATTTTCTTGTGCCCTTTCTTATACCCTGCAAGGCACTTGGAGCAAAACCTCATTTCCACTGATCTCTTAAAGGGGGGAAGGGGTCGGCAGGAAGCAAAACAGCAACAATTTACTTTTCAAGAAAATAAAATAAATTCAAGTACTGTCAAAAGATGCTGACTGGATAGCTCTTCTTTGTCTAGCCACAAGATAAGTCTGGCATGAGAAGTAGCTTAGTGGCACATGAAGACAGGTCATGAGAAATTACTAATCAATGTCTAGGAGAATTGCCTCAAAAATGTTAGTTAAAATCTCTGATTATGTCTAAAAATAGTCAAGTACAATCCCTGACACAGCTCCTTGTTTCTGTTCCCAGACACCTATTCTGGAGACCTGTTTGGAGCAATCTCTGACTTTCTTCCAGGTCATATGCCCTCCTATGGACAAATATTTCTCGTATGGAAACAGGGACATGGGAACAATAGAGCCTGCCTAAGACCCTTGGTGACATGGACTCAGGATACAGGCAGGTATTCTTGCAGTTTAGACTTTGCTTATGCCCTGCCAATACTTGGTAGGTCCTCTCAAACACAACCTTATCATAAAGCAGCAGTGCTATTATGGTATTTCAACAAGGATGAGTTCACACATCTTATTGGAGAATTGTAATGGGGACAGGTGTCACGCATTGCTAAACTGGTTGAAGGAAAGCTTGCATTTCCCCACCTGAGTCATTTACACTGGTCTTATTAGGCCACTTTAGGTAGCATCTTTATACAATGCTAGACAGCAGTTTATTGGAATCCCCTGCAGAAACTTGGCCACAAACTGGCATATCATATTACTTGCCTTTCAACCTCCAAATTTTCTTCAAAAGGGAATGAAAATCAGTTTTATTATTGCCAAGTCCGGATGTAAACTGGTGACATAGGGATGAAACTGCCTGCAACATATTATCAGCTGTCATTGAATGTTTGCAAAGCCACAAACTGATCGCAGTTTTACAAAATTTGGACAAGGATGGATGCTGATTCTGGGAAAACATGTTAACTACACAGTTTCTAAACCTAAGGCAACACAATTTAATATATAAATAAATCATTACCTCCATAAGGATGCAGCCTTTGTTTCATTTTCTATTTCCTTTAAATCACTGTGGCAAACCAGTATAAACATCCAGGCTGACCAAAGATCTTGAAGTTGGTATAAGAATGGAATTTTTAAAATCTGCATCAAAAAGCATGCTTAAAAAGTTTATGAAAGAACTGAAACTGGAACTGTTTGCCGTTCATTTTGTACAGGTTGCCATAGAAACTGTGCTGGATGAAATGACTTAAGAAGCTTTTAATTTGCATCAAATCTGATTCAAACTTTACTTCAAAAGCCTGAAAACAGGAGTTTAAAACCCAGAATGTTTTCTGTTGGTTGTGCTCTATTGACTTAAAATGTGGGAACAACATACGTTGCCATTAAGCAAAGTGAGATGACAAGCTGTCATCTTTTGAAACCTGCAATGCATATGACTTAACTTCCATATATCTCTAAAACTTTGTAGACAAAATTCTAGCTGAGCAGGTACTTGCAAGAAGTCTCCCAAGTCTGTAATTAGAACAAGGCTGCTTTCATCTTTAGCTGCTGACCTTCTAGAAAATCTGATACCAAAGCCTTCTGCATTATTCAATGGAAACAAAACAGAGTCAAACTGTATTTTGTAAAAGCCAGCTCTGGATGTCAGAACAGACATCTTCAAACAGTGCACTGTGACCAGTAGTTTTCGGCTGACTTCATACATGGGCACAGAGTAAGTTGGTCTGTGGCTTCAGCATGCGGCAAATTTAGAAAATAAGACATTTACAGGCAATAGGGACATAATTGCCAAACTCCTAGTTTATCAGTTGATTTATTAGCACAGAGAGCAGCACATCCCTAGAACGATATTAGTAACATACTTGACATCAATGAGCTCTCCCTGCCCACACACCTTATACTCGGTGTTAGTTTAGAACTTGCAATGGGGTGGCAGCCAGGTAGCCTTGAAGAATGAAGTTGTCTTTGTGCAGCATACCCAGCAGGAGTGACTGTCTCCCCAAACCACCTTCTGAGCTCACTGCAACCCTGACTGCTAGGAACCACTTCTGACTGTAAAAGCATTAAACAGCCTTCCTTACCAGCCACTGCTTCCATAGTTTCCAGCTAGAGGGCCAACAATCTGCAACAGGAAGAGTGGGAAGTACTGAAACTAGGTGTTTTCTACACCTGTCTACTGGAAGATGGATGGGGACTGGTTCAAACAGTAGACCTAGATGTGAGCTGCTAGCAACAGCAACTTTGAGCCAATATTAATGCAGACTTGCTTGAATCTGCAGCCTAAATATGCAAGGTTAAGAAGAATGTATAAACACATGGTGCACAGAGTATATCATCCCTAGAACTATGGAGCAGACAAGGCAGCACACCTCAGGGCACAGCAGTAGCAGAATGGGAGAGTCCATAAGCCTGATATCTCCAGCAGTGAGCAAAAAACCTAAATAGGAGCAAAAATGGCATGACAGTCAAAGAGGCAAGGGGCAAGGAGCGAGAAGATAAAGGGATAGAGGATGTGGTTGCTCTGAGAGCAGTGGCATTCAATCTTTTTCAGTTTGCAGACATCCAAACGCTTGTGGAAGGAAGTAGAAGAGCACTGTGCAGAGAAGTTACTAATAATTTGCTGGCTTTTCACAGCTGTCTTTGCCACACTCTTGTGCTTGTCACATAAGTACCTCACAGCACCCCACCGGCCCACGAACCACAGGCTGAAGGCCACTGCTTTAGAAATGGAAGGGACTGTTAAAAAAACAGCAGTTACAAGGAAAAGAAGGAGGGAGATGCAGAAGAGACACCCAGTGTCAGGAAGGAGGGACTGAATTGTGTCACTTCTGTGATTTGGATCTGCAAATTAGCAATATCTGCATTTAAAAGCATGCACAGACATTTGAAGTTTTTTCCACTGACTGGCTCTGGTGACTAGCAGTTCAATATTGCCTAATGTAATCAGAACTCTGTCAGAACTCCTGAGTGGAATTACTACACCTCTCCAGGTAGTTATCCAGTCTTCAGTCCTTATTCTATAGATTATTATTGACACTAGGAGCAGAAGCAGAATGGGTGTGCACAAAATTTGAAGTCTGACAATAAAAGCTTTGTGCTGGTAATAATCTAGTTATGGGGAGCTATGTAATAACAAAAGATCCAGTTTGTATGTGTCCTCACCCAGGCACAGATGCTAACATTCCACCTACTAGCAGCACCACTAGTTGGCATTGCTATGATGCTTTACCTGCTTTCTGTGGGGGCATGAACAGCATTAGTGAACGACAACAGACCACCACTTATGCACATGCTCTCACTCAGCAGGTAAAAATACACCAACGAATGACTTACAAGATCTAGGGCTGCTGCCAAAATGGAGGCATCGGGGATAGTGCCTGGTTCACAGCAGTTCAGGAGAAACTGAAAACGCTTCATGCCTTGGCGGATTGCTCCCAGGTTCACAACATTCTTGGATTTTCCTCCTTCTTGGTTGGAGGTCAAGTGATCATCAAAGCTATGGCAACCTAAAGAGGTAGAGAGTACAGAGGGGATGCAGGGAGGGGTGGCGAGAAGGGAACACATTCTCTCACCAATAACAAAAGTGGCACAAAAACCCTGATGAGTACGGTCTTGGTCTAAATCCCTTTCTCACCTCAAGGTGCTATCTTGAAGATAACAAGGGCATTTTTACAATATTCATAACTTCCATGAAATAGACGTACAGGAAGCCAGATTCTGGTCTTGGTTGTACCAATGTCTGCCCAAAACAATTCCATTATACTCAGTGTGGAAGTCCAGGATCTACTCCAACATAGGTGAACCAGAATATGGCCCTTCCTCCCCACCTCTTTAAAACAGAACGTCATGCTTACTGTCTGTTTTTCCTGAATAATCTCTTATCTTACTTCTCTATTGTCTCTAAGTTTACCTTAAAGTGGAGCATGCATAAACCTTATTCCTCATGTATCAATTTAGCAACATATAATCTACTAGGACAGAAAAATCAGCAACAAATATTGGAAATGTTCTATGTGTAAATTATGTACTTTTTTTAGTCATACATCTTCTGCAATTACCAGAACACTCAAAGTGAGATTGGGCTCAACTCTTAGGTATCGTCATCATTTCAGCCTCTCTCCCTTGAAATATTTTGCACTCTTCGGGACGGAAAGCTCCCTAATAAGATTTCCTTTTGAAAAGGTAGCTAGCACCCCCCTCTAGGGCTTCTTTCAAGCATGGCTTTAAACTCTGTGATTAGAGTTCACACGATAAATTAACTAATCTTATTGTCGATTGCAATGAACAATTCTGAATGCAGAAGATCATTATGCAGTTGGTATTCAGAGTTGAGAGAGTGGTGGAAAGATACAGATGAGAAATGAGGAAAGTCGTCTGAAGGCCAAGGTGGCTGGTCAAAACAAGAGTATTCAGCTTCTGGGCTTTTTGTCTTTAGCCATAATAATCTCCCTTATTTACAAGTGAAAGCACAAATGTTTATCGAATACTGCAGGATAGAGCACTGAAGAAGAAAACACTGAGTGGAGAATTCAAGACTGGCTATAAACATGGATTTGAAAGACAAAAGGAAAAACATCAGCTCTACAGGACTTTGTGACTTCTCCTTCCTCGGGAAAGAATAACGGCTGAAAACTCAAAGTCCCTTTCAGATTGCACTCCCCAGAATTACTTGGAAAGCACTTAGGCACCACACGCAATAATCACAACAAAAAATAGCAATATGGATCTTCACTTTTCCACTGAAGACAGAGGTATATCAAATTTCAAGTGACTTCTTTACAACATCTGTGGCTTTTGTCTCTCCAGTGAATCTGTACATAGTTTTCCAGTAAACAAAATGTTCCTATGTTGGGAAATATTCCATCAAAATGGAACAAACAAATAAAGTAGAAAGAACGGGTAGAACACTTACATAAATGAGCAGGCACAAATACCCTTTTCTTCCAACTCCTCCTGTTTCCTTATAGCCTGTACCATGCTACCTGAGCCTTCCTACTATGGCTGTTGTAACACTAATGCATTTGAGGTACAAACTAATGTTTCCTATTCAGGGCCCTGTTAGGATTGTGCCTGTATGAGATAAAGAACAGAAATTTGACTTTCTGATACAGAAAGGCATGCCTAGGGCATCTCCCTAACCCCCACTATAAAGATCCAGCAGAGGCTGTGTCCATCTGGGCTTACTGGTACTACCCTGTTGCTTACAGCCCTTTATAGTCCTAGCCTTACACTTTGTTGAAGCTTCGCGAGAGAATCCTTCAGAAGCAGCTGATGACTGTCCTCTGCTGCCCCTGGAGTAGCCTTGCTGTAAGTAAGGTAGCCCTCACTGGCTTAGTGTTAATGTGACTCAGCGAGTAGAGACCATTTCCGAACATAGGAGGACACTGGATGCCCAAGCTCCTGCCCTCACAGTTGCTTCCTGTGAGTGTGCGGGATCACCCCTCAGAGCAAGCATGTGCTGTGGTTCACCTGTGCTATATGCTCTGAACACCCTGACAACTTCTATGGTCACTCACAATGTTTTCAGTAAGTGCCCAAAGGAATGTTCAGGGTCTCATGCAAACACACTGTAACTCACTCCTGTATATATGCTCTGTTCTTAGTATAGGTAAAAAGATCATTAAAATAAACATTTTGTTATGCATGAATGTGCATATATTTATGTGTATATATATGTATATATATGCACACATACAGATACACACACACACGTATCTTTACATACATATCCAACACAGAACTTCCATGATGTCTAGATGACATATCACAATAAAGATTACAATTCATAAACGGTGTGGCAAGTTATTCTACATTTCTTTTTTTTTTTTTGTACTGTAACGTATTTCTCTTCTCTGTTTTCTTTTAAATTTGGTCTACTACGTTAAAAGACCCAAAAACACAAGAGGAAACACCACATGGAAAAAGCATGAGCAAAGTAATGGCATAGCATCATGAATGACAAGAATGGGAAGGCAGAAATAAGTACCAAAACAATGCTTCAGGGTCGGACCTTGAGGAATTTAATATTATGCCCATCCACCTTCAGCAGGCTTTTATCCTCTTCTCCATAAGCACATAAAACCAACTGATCTTTATGGAAGATACAGAAACACTGGAAATTTGAAGGCCCTCTGTCAAGTTGCTGTCCTACTGTGTTATAAACCGTTCCACCCCGAAAAGGCCCGACATCAATTTCACAATGCACACAGAGCTACATACACACAGAGGCATGTACAACTACACTAATGTATTTGCTAATGGTATGTGGCTCCCACTGCATACCAGAGATCCTTGCAGACATGGTAATACAACTTCCTTAACCGTCACACTTTGCCTTATAAACTTTAAATACCCTCCCTTTGCTTCAGTTAGTGATCAGGCAACAGCCCAACCATCCCCCATCAACATCACTGGACAATTTGCCTGTTTCTCATACTAACATGCAAGGGTCTCTGTCTCCATTGCATCACTTTTATTATGGCATTTCTAATACATGCATAAATCAAAACCAAGAATGTGTCATGTACATCTCTCACACATATGTAAAAGATATTTCAAGTTCTAATTACATAAATTCTGATGTTACTCAGAGGAGGCTGAAGTACAGACAACACTTCCAAAGTTCAAAATGCCAATATTAATGTGTCATCTGAGTTTTGTATAGACATAAGATGTGCCACACTTACTGAACAAGGCTTTGGATGCTCACAGGGCCAAGACTACCTCTGTGCCATTAAATCAAGAATATGGGCACTCTAGGCAGAAGCAAATTCACAGTGGCATAAAATCAGCATTAGCAAGATGAAAAAAATTTATTTAGTACAAGAAAATAAAAAATATGAAGGATATCTCACATAAGCACTGTAGAAACAGCTGTGGCAGTCTATAAAGATCTCACTGCCCCTCAGTTCTTTGTTCACAGTAAAAGCTGGGGGAAAATATAGTGGAAGTATTTCACACCTACTTCAGCACGAAGTGGTGGATGAAAAAAACAATGCAGTTCCTTCCTTTGTGGGATTATTCACCTTCAGCTACCACGCTATTATAAGCTGTTGGGATGATGCATTCTCCTTCTAAAGGAACGACACTTTTCACTTAGAAACTAGTTGAAAACCATCACCAGTGTTTCTGCAGTGGTAGAATGATGACCAGTTTACCAGTACGAGAGATGCTCATACTTTCCTAGCACCACTTGCCTGAACAATGCCTCACATGCACTAGATTGCAGGTCTGGAACAGATGATGGTGAAATACACACAATGCAATGTCAAAGTGTAATGTCAGAAAATAAAAAAACATAATGCCAGAGAATGTAACATACTGTAAAGCTACAGAAATCATGGTGAGAAAGAAAGTCTACTCCTTTTTGTGTGTTTTGGGCAGTCAGGTTGGGTCTTCTTGAAAAAACAGTAACAGAACTTCAAGATACAAGGTTGCCTCCCTGACAACAAGGATGAGCTCTGAGGACATGAGCATGTGAATGACTGCATGACATTTTAAAACAGAATATAACATGCCCTTGTACTATTCATAAAGGCACTTTTCAAACATTTCTGGTTTTGAAAATGCATTGAAGTAAATATACTTTCATGGAAAGAAAAGTAGTGTTGTTATTATGTTGTGTGCTAAGAAAAAGGGACAGCAACCCTAACGAATGGTATGCAGACACTAGACATGCAAACACAGAAGAAAAGAGATAATTATAACAAGGTTTGTGCAGGGTTTTCCATTTCATCACTGCTGATCTTTGCTAAAACTGTCAAATGGTCACAAATCGGGAAAAAAACAAAACAAAAGAACTGATGGAACACCCATTTTTACATTAGGTAATAAAAGGTTTACACACCTAATTTTGAACTGAATAAGTGCTTTGAAGCAAACATTAATTTTTCAAGTGTTGATCAATTTCAATTTGATTTAAAAGCCCAAATGTTGTATTTGCATAATTTATTTGGGTAGTCTTCATTTTTTAAAAAATCGACTTTAGTAGAGTTTTTTTTCTAAATCAAAACAAAAGAAAGAAGGAAGGGGAAGAAAACAGTTACAAAGACTAAAAAGTTGGAGAAGGCTAGAATGGATACAAAAACTACGGAGAAAGCAGGAAAAAAGGGAAAGGGGTAAAATACAGAAAGAAAGATTAAAAAAAAGAAACGTTAAAAAAACCAAAGAAAAAAGGAGACGAGAACCCTGATTTCTAACCATCTTTTTCTTCTGTGTGATGAAGCTTGGATGGGTGTCTTCGGCAGGTGCGCCATTTACCAAGACGCTTGAAGAAATTCTCCTCTTCATCTCGTCCATTGTCCACGCCACCTCCTGGCCCCGCTCCTTCTGACAGCTTCACTGCACTGGTAAACTTCACCTGTGTAAAACAGAGGGCTGGGTCAGGCTGCATCATACCACTGTCTCTTAGTCTTCCTTGCTTAGACATAAAGCATCTACAGCAGGTTTGTAACACAGTGGATCACCATAGCAATATAAGTGGGTCTGCAGATTTACATACGCCGAAGCACTTCATCTTTTAAGTTTCTGCTTAAAGGACTGGTCCTTTGCAAGAGGCTGTAAAGGCACAAAGAAGGAAGGAGAAGCATGACCAACAATTAAATTTTAAGTGTGTTGACAGAGCCTGCATTTCTCTCTCAGTGAACCAAGGCAGACTAACAAGTACAGTTTAGGTTTAACTTAGTCTTCATTGTGAGCCGCAAAAGTCCAGTATCAAATTCTCATGGCACTCTACTCTGAAGACTTCTGTAACCAAGTCTTCTTGACTGCAATGTCCATATTTAGTAGAGTGTTTCTCTGGACAGCTAAAGCCAGCCAGATCCTGTCCTTCAAAGGTCTCTGCGATCCCACCTGACACATTTACCTTGGAACTCTGCCTGATGAAAGACAGACGATCGACAGAGCTGATATCTAGGAGATCTTCCACCCCATCAGCCAGGCCAGAGAGGGAGGAGCGCTTCAGCCAGTTCCCTGTTGCAGAATAAGCCACTCAGGACAATTCTGAAAATGCTTCCAAGAAGAATCTATTTATTAGCAATTGCAGCATATTTCCCCAAAGTGGCCATGCCAGGGTATGGGAAAACGGGAGGAAAGGGGAAGGCAATCCTTTGATATTACATGCATTAACTACCATGCAAGGTCAGGTCTGGGGACTTGTAAAGGATGTATTCTCTGTCTATCAAATGCTATTTGGAATATTTCCTTTCTACAAAGAGGAATAATGCCTGTGAGATTAAGGTACTAGCCTACTACTTTGGAGACACAGATTCAGTATTCTATTTTGCCACAGATATCCCCTGTTACCTTTGGTAGATTGCTTAAGTTTCGCTTTGCCTCAGTTCCCCATCTGTAAAATGGAGGGAACAGTATTTCCCAGCTTCCCTTGGGAGAATATACAATATACTTGGACAATACGGAACTGTGTTGCAATATTTCTTAAGAAACATATATGTGTCTGTGTTTCTCTGCACATGCAATAGGTATATAGAATAGGAAGAGACATACATTTACCTATGGGGAGTTTGAGTTTCTTTCGAAGGGAGATTCGTCGGGAACGGGAGCGGGAGCGCCTGTCTGTGGTGGTCCCAGAGTGAGCAGTGGTGCACTCGGATGTGTCCTGCTCAGACTGACTACTGGTATCACTCGCTGCACTCTGTGACTTGAACATCTTTCTCCAGAAGTCCTTGCGTCCCAGAACGGCCCCTTGGATTTGCTCATCACTGGAAGAAAAGGGATGCAGAGCACGAACTGCATTTCAGGGAAATTTCGATGCTCCGGGGAATGAGGCCTCACTCCCATAGCCCCCTCCTCACCTTTCTATTCTTTGAGGTTGTTTCATTTTGCATTCTAAACATACTCTTTTCAGTGGGACATAATCAAGTTTGAAAACATGCTCAGTATTGTTAAAAGGCATAAAATAACCATATTTTCTACCCTGAGGAGTTTGTTCACTGAATAGTCATTTTCATTTTTAGTTTCTACATGTGAAAACCAAATCATCTTCTTTAGGTCAAAATTACCCATACTGGTAAGACAACACTGATGTTTTCTACAAGCGTGTGTACTGGAGAACTGTTGGACATCACAATAGCCATTTGTGAACCTGCTGGAGTCACAGTTCTCATTAAAATATTGGAAACGGGACCGCATATTTTGATCTACTCTTCAGATTTCCCATGGCTGTGGCAGGGCTCAGAGCAGAAGAGCTTGCTGCAATTCTGTAGAGCTGTAAAGGGCTTTGTGTTACCCTTGCAGTCTCAGTTAATGCAAGAGAACACATAATATAGAGGAACCTTTGCCCTGCTTTAGGCCCTTGTGCAAGCAATGTCTTCGTACAGTGCATCTCAAAGCACTTTAACAAGACAGACAGGCAGTCAGAGGCACAGAGAAGTTAAATGACTTGTCCAAAGTTACATAGGGACCAGTGGTCACTTGTAAAATTTTCTAAAATTCTTAAGAATAGTGATTAAATTTATTTCTATATTAAATGGCAGAATTCTTTGAAAAAAAAACACTTCAAGCATGCAATGCCTAACAGCAGGTAGATTTGCTCATTAAGAAAACAGGTAGAACACCTGTGCTGATAAGGGAAATGCAATAATGTTTGGAGACTACATACCCAAGATAGGTCAGGAGTGGGCTGGCTCTTGGGAAGCAGTAAAGGATCAATGATCCTTAGCAACAACTTGGGAGATGAAAATTAACAGAATCATCCCCCAGAAGTACAAACAAAGCATAGAGAACAGCTGTGATGACATCTCTGAGGAATTCACACTCTATTCATGGCTAGGATAGTATGTGATACTGACAAATCTACTCCACTGTCATTTGAAAACCACTGGTGTTCAAACACAAACCTGTGTGATGGAGAACCACAGGTTCTCCATCAAAATCAGGGTGGGTCCAGTTGGCAGCATTGAAAACAGGCACTACCTGAATGTTATCAGCAGCTCCTGAACAGACACTCAACACATTTGTTGTACCATCCAAAGAGATAAATCCGTGCTGTCCTCCCTGTTTGTACTAACCTCAGAAGGAAGCTGCTGGCAATAATGCATGAAATAATTCAATATTTACTTACTGCTCTGGAGTTTGCATTGGGCGACTTGAGATGTAACTACGGCATTCATCAGGGGCAGCTGATGCCTGGCTTTTGTCAATGATGACACTTCCCACCTCGGATCTATACAGCCAATACAAATCATCAGCTAAACCGAACAGATGGCCCACCTCATGATCATCACATAGCTACACGACATGGAAACCAGCATGGCTAAGCAACAAAGCAGCTTTAGAGATGTACCCTCTCTTTAACAACTTACTGCCTCTATATATATCATTCATGAAAAAGACATCAGCTTTTAGAAGCAAAACTAAGGGTTTTTAGGAGTTTTTCAACTTTCTTAATCCTCCTTCCCAACATTTTAATATGACGAGACTCAAAGCACCAGAGAAAATTTCTTTTGCATAAAGAAGCATGTCAGGATTAGATTTCTTCTGGGACTCATTTCGCATACCAAGGTGTACCCGTCAGATAAACAACACTAAGGATGTGATGCACATTAAAAGCTATGTCCACACAGTGTTTTGGGACTGACACTATGCTTCTTACTTCTCTTAACCTTTCCTCCTTCCAGTGTTTCTGTTGCACTGTTCTCTTAGGTCTCTTGTGTGAGATGGTTAGCACTTTTTCCTGCACATCTATTACTGTCTCAGTTCATTAAATTTCAAAGGAGACGCTGCCACAGTACAGTTCTGTACATAAGGAACTGACATTTGCTATCAAGATAAAACACAGAAGCCCTTGGACTTTCTACCTTTGTGTTCAGTGCATGTAGTCATACAGCCACAAGTCAGTCACTGATTTGCTTTCTTCCTCCTAGACACCCACCTTTTGCTCCCAGAAGGTTTCATTTCTTGCTCCATTTCCTCTGCTTTTTTTCCCGGTATTAACTTTTCAGCGCTGTCTAAGAGGGCACTGAGTGCCACTCTACGAAAGACATTCCCATGAGCCTCCTTGATAAACTGGACCAGCTGTCGGATATCGCAGTACAAGCCCTGAGCAGCAAGACATCATGCAAATGAAAGAAGTCAGTCTGCAGTTGGTGAAGAAGGGGGGAGAATCAATAGTTTCTAAGGTACTTCAGCAGGCCATTATTTCCTCTGGCTGTAGTCTGATATACTCTCCATTCACAGGGTTTGTGTTTTCTGGCTGGGATCAAAAGCTGGAAACTCAATTTAGTGCACTCAGAAGAAGCACACAATGAGGAGCATTATTGTTTTGGAACATGCTCTGCAATGGGCTAAGGCAGATCTAGAGGTATCAGAGGCTAAAACAGCTGCAAAATGAGGGAGATGCAAAGACAATTTAAGGCCTGTTTTATTCTATTCATCTACCCCTTAATCATGAAAAAGCTAAAGGCGGGAGGGGGAGCAGAGTGCAAAAAATTGCATGTTTTGTTTCAAAACCAGTGGATGTCTTCAGACTTTTCTTAATTATTTTAGAGCTTTGCATCATGGGAACAGAGGGGAATGACTCACTCATTCCCCAACCTACTCCTACACTCAAGGTTCTTTTTAGTTCTGAACATTCATACACATCTGTGATGTGACAAATCACCTCTATATCTGATGGCAAGGGGATAGAGGGAACAGTTTTACAGAACTGGATTTTTGATCTGTGAGCTTTCCTGAAAGATCTTGGATTATTCTGAAATTTCCCAGCTAGGAACTGCACAGCCAGCTTTCAACAAATAAAACCCTAACAAACAAATAATTGGTTCTGTATACTGACTGAGGTTGTTTTTCATAAGATATTCAACACAAGACTGACTTTAAAGAGTGACGCAACAACAGGAAACCCTCATATTTACTCTGCGTACTATCTTCTCCATATGGACACACTTAACGGTACTGTGCTTAAAGATAAATTTCACCTTACACACTTGCTAAAATAGGGTCCAGAAAGACAATTTATAATTAAAATTTACACTTGCAGTTCCTAATCCAGGTCCAACAGTGGCACATGTTTTTTTGCATGCCACCACTTAACCAATTCTGCTGAGAAACATTCCAGAGGAGGAATATCCATAGGAACAAGAGGACTTGGACACAGGCAGACTACTCTGCTGGTTTAAGACATTACTGTGTTTTCCTTCTCCCTCTCCCTTCCCCTCCTAGAGGATTACTCTGCCTTTAGCTGCACTTCAGTGCCTCTACACGTCTGCTGTAAGGATGGAGCACAAGAATGCTTCTTGGTTGCTTGCATGAAAAATCCTAATTTCCGATAATAAAGGAGGTGGTTTGAGACTAACTGCTAGATTCTGCCCCAATTTGAAGAAGAGAGCTCATATCATCCATTCTACTGACTGCTCTGGGGACATGGCACACAGGCAGCAATGAGCTGCACCTTACTTTCCTCCAGGTGTTTGGTAAATTGAATGACTGTCTAAACCTTGGGAAGACCTATGAAATTTCCGTTCAGTAACTCATACTCTGTCACGGATGGGTCACATCCTTAACTAAGTAAACTGGCTTTAACTTTGCTGAAAGTTGATTTATGCTGGCTGCGGTCTTATTCACTAATCCCTTGCTCCAGACTATGCTATTAATCCGTTTGGAAAAAAAACCCAAAGAAGCTGCTTGAACAGAGAGGGGAAAATGCAGTTCAGAGTGCACAACTTTTATCCTGGCTAAGTCCTCAGGTTCCAAGGCAGACATGAAAGGAGGGCATCACATTTATACCATGTTTCAGCTGTGAATGCATAGCTTGCTACGCTCATGGGGTTTGGCTAAATTGAATTAACTCTCCACTGTAAAGCCTCACTGGTGACACCCAAGTGACAAAGTAACTTTGTTAACATGAAATCAAGTGCTTACCAGGTTTTCTGGGCTGTGCAGCTCATGTGTAGTGGAAGCACAGCGAGTGATCAATGACTTGAACATGGCACTCACAATAATACCTTCTACGCTCTGGGCTGTAGACTTGTTGTCCACTGTGGTGAAGTTATTCCCAAATCCAGCCTTGTCTGTGAAATTCAAGTACAAGCAAGCCCCGATGTTAGGAATGGTTTAAACAAATATGGCTTAAAGCACATATAAAGGGATTCAGATACATGAGACAAGGGCAATCCCACCCCACACAAAGCAGAAGGGAAGGGTAAAATAAATGAGAAGAACAAAATATTCCTAGAAACAGTTGTAGTATGCAAAAGGATTGAAAACATCAGGACCACTCTGGCTTCCTTTCATTCACATCTCTCAGAGATGTACAGAATGAGGCATAACATTTGAACAATACCTGAATCTTTTGTATTTACTGTTCTAAAGCACAAGAGATGTTCGATTAAGCTGAAAACTGACAACACTCATGAAAAGAAAATCTTCTGAACTACAGGAATGCTGTTCTTGCAAGGTGCACAAGGAGACCAAGCTCTCAGAAAGTCAAAAAAGGGCTACACACTTATACGAATAACAAGAAACATCTGTTGCGTTAGGTAAGAGAAAATGCTTTCAAAAGCTGCATGAGCTGCCATGCTTCAAAGCATGAGCCAGTCAATAATTGATGAATACTTGGGGAAGCTTCCCATGGGCATCTTTTTTACAAAAGTCTGCTATATAATAGTTTTGATGCTTTCTCTGAAACGCCTGAGATCAGACGTAGGCTAATAGACTAGTCAGACTCCCCGAGTGCTTCACAGCAGCTATTCCTACTCTGAAAAATCATTGTTAATTGCTCTTGCAGGAAGTAACCAAACAAAAATGGTCATTCTAATAGCACCTGAAATAATTTTCCTAACTTAAAAAAAAAAAAACCATATATACATACACACACATGCACACACACTTGTAACTGCAGACGTGAGCATCTGTGTGTTCATGTTCTTGTTTATTCAATCTGTTCTCACTATTTACTGCCTCACCTGAGGCCCTACAAAAGGTTTTAATGCTCAATTATGTCTCCTTTCAGAATAAACGCTGGATTAAACAGGCCATTCCAGCTGGTGCATGGTCATGTCATGAGGCAGAAAACTTCCTGCCTGAGGCATAGCATAGTTGAATGAAAATATTTTCTTTGAAGACCCATGAACAACAGCTAGGATGAATCAAAAGAGAGGCCTTCAGATTCAGGTGCAAGATCACTAGGTAAGATCACTGGGTGATCAAATCAGAAGAGATCCAACTTCCCTGACCCACACTGGCTGAGAATACGGTCTGTATATTCTAGGGATAGTAATTCACTTTTTTTTTTTTCTTTCTTAAAGGAAAAGAAAAAGGTGTGGCTTCTTTCTGATTGTACAGTTTAGGAATATTCAAGTGAGAGCTTCTGATGCCAGCTATACTTACTATCAGTGACTGGCTCCATGCAGAATCCCAGTAAAGCATGCAGGAAATCCACCACATTATTGAGAGAATCCCTGTTCACATAATCCCTCATAGTCTGCCGGAACTGCATCTTATCCAGCTTGTACAGCTTTGTGAGGCAGTTTTGAGCCTGCAACGATATCCATCGAATCACATCACATCAAAGTACATGTCTGAGTTTTGCTAATAGGAGCAGGGTATTTTTTGCTCCTGCTTAGCCAGTACTCTGCTGTGCTGTCTAAGGTAACCTCCCCTAGGAGCTAGAAAGTTTAGATCCTGTAACAGAAGACAGGTTCGCCTCTGAAGCAAACAAGAAGTTCAGCACAAGGATACAATGCTGAAGGCACCAACAAGGCACCAGTATGTGTGCCACTGTTTGGAGGTGCTGGTGCAGTCACTGCCAGCCATGTCTCTCCTCTCCCCAACCCCAAGGTAAAATCTAACTGGACATGAATGAAGTAGGAATGTACTACCTCAAGGCTTACTGCCCTGATGAAACAAGTTCTTAGCCTCAGGCATCTGATTTTCAGCCTCTGGCTCAGACCCAACCCATCTGATGCACCTGTACTCAGTGACTAATTAATATCATGCAAACCATTAGCTTTGTATTTAAAAGCTATAGATTGTCAACTTCTTATCGCAAAAGTGTCCAACCTACCGGGACCCCATGCAAGCTGGAGTTAAGAGAATCTGAAATATCAGATCTATGGGAAATATGAACTTCCCTGCTACTGCAATAGGCTACTTAACTTTCCAGTAAATGCAGACATGTGATTGTCCATGCAGTCAACACAAATGGTTCATGCAAAGCAGTTTGGTCAGACAAATGCACAGAAAATGCAGCAGACTTAGACATGAAGGAAAATCTCTTCCCACAAAGACCTCAATTCAATGAGTCTGATAAGAACTTGGGTCCAGGAGACCTATTCATTTATGCTTAATGTTATGCACAGGCCTAAATGTTTTGCTTGGCTCAGCTCCAACACAACATAAAAGCCTAACTAACATTTTGATGAATATGGGTATATATTCAACCAGTGCTCGGTGCAGACCCTTTCTGCTGTTACCAGTGGGACCCTTTTACCCCATCTTGTCCCACTGTGTCCAGAACTAACATTACTGCTGCAGTCCCTCAGTACTCGGGAGTGTAGCTAACAGAATAACGCTGCACGATGCGGAGGCAGCCAATCCATCTCTGAGCCATCTAGCTCAGATCCCAGAACCAAATTATGGCTCTGTTGGCATGGCTCAGGCTAGCCAAAGCCATGGAGAAGCACCTGGCTCTCACTCACGCTGTGTATAGGTACAGTGTAAATTATTATAGTCATCAAAAATGCTCCCTGCTGCAAGCACAGAAGGGGAGGAGGAGGCATGTGCTGGAGAAAGCCTCTGAAAGGCTCCCATTTGACAGGGCATTGGACTGATCTCAGGGAGTCAAACTCTTCTGGATGAAGTCAGATGTCTGGGCTACATCCTGAGCATTTTTCACTGCTTCAACTTGGGCAGAACTAAAAATGTAAGGAATCAACAGCGACCATCCACTCTGCCCTTCAACAGGGCATGAGTCTTCTACTTTCTTGCAGCACACTAATACGCCTGCAAGCACAGCGCACTCCAACTATCACGAGCTGATGGAGCAGCCCAGCAGCAACTAGTCATTATCACCATTAGGAGAGGTGGACATAACTACACCTTAGACTTCTGAATTCAATTATGCAACCCAAGATAGCTGCACCTCTTGTAAATATCGTACTCTGTTGGGGTACCATCAATGTGAAAAATTACTTACACCTGCTCACACAGGGAATTTGCTCCCATATATTTGTCCCTTCCCAGACATCCCATCCATTGGGGTGCTCAGAAGTACCCTGGGGTTCCAGTGCGCTCTTAGCAAGCCCCAGGGGCTGGAAGGCAACACGATAGCTGAAAATCTGCTATGGCTGGGCTGCAACACAGTCTGTGAGCTGAGGCAAAGAGCAACACATTTACTGCCAATGCAGAGAAAGCTACAGAGGTGGCAGACAGCAATCTCAGCAGCTGATGTCAAAAGTGCAAGAGGGATGCTTTAATGAGCTTTAGTTCTCTTACATTCTCCCAGAATACCTGGTGTCTCAGGCGATCTCCAGAGAGCCCTCGGTGTCCTTCTCCACAACCATAGGCACAACCTAGTGACTTCACAATTTTGATCAGCATTGTGAGTGCTAGCCTATGGGTGCTGACAGATGGGCCTTCATCCTGAGAGTCACAGAGGGAAAGACGGTGTGAAACCCTGGCACAGACACTGGTATTTTGTTAGCATTTTACTCTTAACAAATCACTGTCCATTTCTCCTCTCAGACACTCCATTACTGAGTTGTTACTCTTGAAATGTTTACTCCAATTATTTTTCAAGTTTAGGGACCAACCTGCTCCCTTTCACCTCCTCTCAAAAAGTCATGCTATAAATGTGAAGCCCCCTACATGCTGCTATGAATACCATTCAGCATTTACTTCAGAAAAAAATCTGCCTAAAAAACAGAGAGCTGGCTTGCTTGAGCAGAAAAACAAGCATCTTTTTAAAATGTCTTAGGTATTATGCTTCCTGTATTGCAACTTTGGAGGTCAGCAACACCATCTTCTGCCAATTCTCATCGCAATACTGAAAAATTTATGATTTGTGGCCACCAGAGAAAACAAACTGGGCTCACACACTGGATTCTGTTTTCTCCTATAAGCTATGAATAATAAACCTGAAAAAAAAAATCATTGTGATTGAGGCTTGCAGGCACTTTAACAAGATATTGAAGCTGTTCATTCAAGGTTCACACTCTCTGCTTTTGGCAGCTTCTTCACTGGAGCAATTACAGTGCTTGAATTCCCAACTGTGTTTCTTCAGTGGAACCCCAAGTGAACACCAGAGCAAAAGAAATTAATTTGTGATTGTGGTGCAAAAGAAAAAGGAGAGAAAACAGAAGGGTAGTTGCACACACATGCATACTCAATCTTAACAGATCTTACACTGCATTCAGGAACTGTGTAAAGGGAAAGAAGACAAACCTTTTCTTGTTTTCTGTCATTCTTCTCGTATGGTCCTCCTCCTCCACCACCACCTCCATCATTTCCACCTCCTCCACCACCTCCTTCTTCTCCTCCATCTCCAGCTCCACTAAGTAGGGGAGGCCCAAATCCACAAGCTGAACCACCAGAAGCAGCCGGTTTGAGCTGGAAAGATCCTTCACTTGGTCTCTTTTCAGGGGCCTCATTTTCTTTGTTCTCACTCTTCCTCCGAACCTTCTCTACACAGGGCACCACACCAAGCTGAAGTAAGCACTCCACAATGTTCAGTGCCACATCACAAATCCGGGAACTGATGTCATGGTTCAGGACTAAGTAAACAGCCTTCAAGACCACCTGGGAGATTCAAACATCATATTTAAAGTCAGATTTATTTTTTCTCCTAGTACTATTCAGTGCCTGGAAATTCTAGTCACAGACCAGAGACTCATTATAGCAGGCACAGTACAAATTCAAAATGAAGTACACACAATCCTCAACCCCAAGAGCCTACAATCTAGATATAAGACAAGAAACCACAGGCTGGGCACAGTCAGGCAGAAAAAGAAAACATGAGATGACATCTGTGAGCCTGAGAACACTGCTTCAGTGCACCAGGAGCTGTCAAGTCATTAAGGGGAAATGCAGAAAAGGTGAGTTTTAAGGTGCCATTAGAATAAAGGTGCTATTCAGTTTTATACTATTTTATAGGGAACTTGGTACATGCCCCAGGAATACAGCCATTAAATAATATCACTTAAGATTTGATGTGTGCATTCCACATGCACATGCGCTCCTTGCAAGGAGTAATAGGAGTTGCAGTATCTCAGAGGAGACTTTTACGATATGCACAAATGTATCTGACTGACCTTTATGTATTGCTGAGAGAAGTCATATAAAAAGGTGGAGGAAAAGCCCATCAAACCCCTGATCTCAATGGTACAGCTATATTGACAGAAGAGGGACCTGGCTTTCCTCATTCCTTGCCAATTACCGAGAGATCCAGCATGCCGTTCTTGTGGACAAAGTTGTTGGTTCCATCAATGTGATCCGTATCCTCCAAGCAACTGTAATTGATGCAGGAGTCTGTCAGGCTTCGTGGGAGGTTGGCACATGTGAGTGGCTCATGGGGCATCTCAGGGATAGGCACCTGGTTGCAAAGCTTCCTCATGTGCTCACTGAAGAAATCTGCATAGCCCACATTGAATGAGGCAAGGGTAGTGTTGAAGGTGGCCACAGTGATGGTGGAGATCTGGGACCGCACTGCAGGGAGGAAAATGGGTACCTGTGACTTTCCATCTCTGGAGTTATGAAATAGCAAACTGAGGCTGTCCTCTTTTACAAGAAGGGAGCAGCTCTTTATGCAGCTTGTAATGCTGAAAGACAAGACAGGTTCCTAATTCCTATCACGGGCACAGGGATAGACTCATTTCTTCCTCTAAGCCAGCGTAAATCAGAACAACCCCAAACTTGCTCTAGCAGTACAATTCCATGGCAGCTTAAGTTGATCTTGGTCAGCTGGGCAGTTAAGTAGATCGGGGAGCTCAGCCAGCCTAAATCTAATCCAAAAGGGGCATTAGATTTTGGCTGGCTTTGCTCCCGGTACTGGTCCAGTGCCTGGTCTTAAAAACAATACTGCCCCTGCAAGGGGAAGAGGAAGGACTCTGCAGCTGGATGCAGGAGTGAAGGTAGGGTAACAGCAGCACCAGTTTGAAGCAGTTTTGTAAGTCACACCAGTCTGAAGTATTTCATCACCCTAGTTGAAAAAAATGAAGCAGTGTGTTCCTAATAGCACCTCTGACAGTCTAAACCATCCCCAAAATGCAAAACTAACTGATGAGAAAGGCAATGTGGTGTCTAAGTTCACAGTGCTCAGAGAAGGAACCTCATGACATAGCCAAGCTAAACTTTAAATGGGTTAGCTCAGGCAGTGACAACATTTCGGCTACACAGGCCAACTTTCATCAAGGATTCACCATGGATTTACAACTCAGGCTGAACTCCAGGCCACGATGTTAGTAATTTCCCACACTTGGTCCTTTGTAAATAGTTTTATACACCCTGTAGTGTAGAAAGAACCTATGTGCCCAACAGTGATTGGGCCACCTTCTGCCAGACAGTACAGTAACACGACTTTGGAATAACAAAGAACCTCTATCTAAGGTTATTTAATGTTTTCTAATGAATAAAATAACATACATCTAATAAGAATCTTCAAGCACTGACTCAGTGATTGACTGGTTATATTATGCAAGTAACAGCTTGGCAGAGTGGTGACAGCATTTCCTCATAGCCTGTGCAATGCTTCCAGCACTGAACTAGCATTATTTATTAAGGGAAATGTTCAAAGGCCGACAGCAGTACCTTGAGCTAGGCTACAGTTTGGTCAATGATCAGAGCAGAAATTAGCTGCCTGTAATTACAGGATTATTTGCTGGCAAGTGTGACTTTTTAATGGCATTCACTGAAATTTGCATGGTGAAGACAACAATAAAGGTGGAATTAGCAAATTATGTTGCTGAGCTACAAAGTTTGATAATTACCCAAGGGTAGTTATTTTTTGTTTCACTAAGATTTTGCTTAGTTTGTTTTGAAATGGGTAACAAAAATCCATATCCAAATTGTACATAAAGTAACTTTTCCTGTGTTTTATATTTCATTATCACTGATAGAGCTGACTGCTAAACGGGACTCGTAGAGGCGAGGAAGGAGGACTAAAGACTCTTCATTTACATCCATGGAGGTCTGCAGCATGTGCCCATGTGCCCGTGACGTCTCTTGAGCAGCTACCTAGTACCTAACTAATTTTTCATCTCTGCTTTTCAGTGTGTCAGCCAAAAGAAATAAGTTAATTAGCAAATGTCTCCTGGCCAGGAAAAGTAGACAACAGGTGGGAAATCATGAACAACCAGTATGCTTGGGATATAGTTGGTCACGCAAAACAAGAGACATATGTAATATTTGTACTCATTCTCTAATTACAGAATGGTTCATTCAAAGTCATAGACTACCCCAAGAAATAGTATGACTTATCCTATTATTCATATAGTTGCTGCACAACTGTACCTGGGATACAACTAGAAAAATAAGCATTTCGTATGGCCACCTTTTAGAAAGTACTTGGCTAGGACGCTGGTGTAGTGAGTGGGATTACTGTCCTATAGAACAACTGCAGGTCGGGAAGACAGACTCCACAAAATTGATCCAGGAGAAGAGCTTTGGAGACACAGAGCAGAGATAAAGGAGATGTGTCCACACTGGGTTAGAGCTGATGCAAATCCATTCTCTCTCAAGACTATCCAGATTTGTTGTGCTAAAAGAGCATGGATCTTTGAAAGCTCCAAGGCTACAGCACATATCATGCGAGTGCATCTGTAGCCTCCTAGGTATGCTGCCTGCCAGCTTGTGCAGAGACAGACTGTGCCTTGCTTCATGGAGTGTGTGATATCCTGTTCCCTCATGAAAGTTTCAGGTTGCACTTGCCATAAGTGAGGCCCAATCTCTATGACCAGGTTTTGCCAGCAGCACTACGGATGAGGGAGAAAATAAATTCACTGTGTTTAGGCAGTAGGAGCAGTGCCAGCAAAGTGCTCTGGTGCAGACAGCCTTGCTGACAAAAGAGAGCTTTCACCTGCTTGGCTAATATTGTTTGACAAAGGTGGTGTTGCCCTGCCAATAGAAAGACTCTTCCTTCTGGAACAGGCTTCATCCTATCAGAGGCTCTCCCATCGTGGTCACACTGGCATTGCTATTTCTGCAGAGGGCTCCAAGAGAGATGGGCCCCAGGGAGATTTCAAGCAAATTTAAAAGCCTGGCTTCTATTTGGAACCAGGGGAAATCAGAAAAAATTGTGATACTGAGCACAATCCAGAAGCTGGGAACTGCAAAGTGGCATTAAGTACCACAGGATTACCCGTGAAACCACTAAAGTTAGCAATACCAAGTTTCGGCCCAAACTTCTACGCTGTGTTGTGGTAGGGCAAAAAAAATCCACACCTGTCTTCTCGCTGCTGATGGCTCCCAATTTTTTTGACAAACTGCACCAGATAAACATGAAAGGTTTGGAACATTTTTCTACACAGAACAAAAACACCCCTCCAGATGCAGGGAAAAAAAAGAGGAAAAAGCAATTAGTCATATACTCATACACAAAACCAGTAACACTTCCTCAGCTTCTTGGAGTTGATATTTCAGTGAAAAGTTTCTTTCCTGATTTGTTAAATTTACCTTCTTTGACTGTGTTCTCTCCATGGCTGTTTGAGTGGTCTGGCAGATCAGAGACCAGCGTGTGATGAGAGTGTGCATGCCTAGCGCTGAGGCTCTCCATCTCGGTTGCTGTGTCAGAGCTCCCCCGTCTGGTAAACTTTCCTAGGGTGAAGACAAGAAATGGATCTTTAGTTTACTCATCTGAGAGGTGCTTGGAGGCAAGAGACAGAAACTGAGGTTAGGAAATGAAGGATTGGAGTCAGCAAAAGTCAAGGCCTTCCAGGACCCAGCGAAGCAGAACCAAACTTTATAGTGAGATATCTCGCAGGGGTTCATTGACATGAAGACCAAACGCACAAAACTCTCTGCAAGGCTCTTCCCCATAAGCACATACTGATGTGGCTGATACCCACATTGTCACCCTCCAGCAGCTTCAGGAAAATAAGATTCATCAGCACTGAAAAGCTCCACGCTTTGGGGCACATTATAGCAATTTGGTTTCTTCTTCCCTTGTCCAAAAGAACAGGGATATTAGGATGGGGCAAAACATCTGTTTGTAAAGCAAAGCATCTGTTGACCATTGGATCTGAAATACATGATGTTACCAAGATGCCACAATGAAAGAACTGTAGATTAAGCCAGGACAAGAACCTGAAGCCTCTGAGATGAAAATTCAACTAACTTCCTGAGCTACTGAAGATATGGGGAAGAGGATTTGGGTACTAAGGTTGCTATTCTTGTACAAATCTACAGGTGTTTGTGTATTAACCATTGGCAAAACACATGTGAATCTTTAAGAATTCACTTGGCTAAGCTCATTGTCCTCTGTCACAAAGAGGGACATGTTTACAATGGAGAGGTTACCAAATGATGCCATCTAAAGCTGGTGAAAATAAGAAGGTTCTAGCATGGCCGTAGGCAATCATTTTGCTGCCTATTGTCTCCAAGAAAGGGTGCCAGGATGAAGATCTATGACATTAGGAGTAAGTTTGTGAAACAGAAACAATGTCTAGACACTGTTCAGTGAACTTGGAAGCTTGAAGGAGCCAATATTAGATTTAAACACTGTATCTTTGCAATATCAAGACAGTGTAAGCCTCACTATCTGAGACAATACCCTATTTATTTTGTAACCACTTGAGGAAGACTGTGACTATATTTTTCCATACCTACATGCCTAATGACCACATTTCTGCCTTTCCAGAGATTTCTCTTTAAAAGAAGATGATGCAGCCATTCCTGGAATCTATTTTAAGCTGCATATTTTAAGCAATGCTTGCTACCACTCAGGGAAAGTGTACTGAGGTGGTACAGACCCGGCCAGAGGTTGCTACAGTAGCTATTATTCCAGTAAAGATGGCAGTTTTCCGAGAAAAAGTGAGCTAAAGCAGAAATCATTCAAGGTCTGCTGTCAGCACAGTCACCACTTCTGCTAACAGGTGTGTAAAGCTGCAAACAGAGCCAAGGATATAAGGTGGCAATAGGATGGATGAAGAAATAAAGAACCTCTGTTATTCTCTGAATGTTCAGGACAGGAACGACACAGAATCTGGGGCAAACATAACAATACCTCACCTAATATGGTGGTTTGCCATCCTCCTCTCTCAATGCCACGCCTGTCCTCTCCAATCCCAGAGAAACTGCCGAATGAAAAAGTGCTGCGAGTGGGTGAGACATCCAAATGATCCTCATGGAGGAGGAAGGGCACCCCCATTCTTCGTTGTCGCTTCTTCCCAGTATGGTGGAAAGGAATTGACCCTTTGCGCTCACGCTCCCTGTCCTCTTTGCGGCTCTTAAACTGCAGGAGGAAGAGGAGCAAATATACGAGCAGGTAGGGGCTTTGAAGCATGGCAAACTACCATTTAAGGGAAAAAGATAACACAGATATGTGGCCCAAATGTAACCATCCACGCTGAGGTTTTTATCTTGGCTATTTACCCTGACAGCAACTATCTGTACTCTGAGACCATACGAGAATTTAAAGGAACTCAGTCTAGATTCGTAAAATCAACAAAACTCTGCTAAGTATCTTGGATGGCTGCAAACCAAGAGCTTCATGAGGTAAAAACATCAGAAAAACTCACTGAAGTAGCTGGAACTACAGTGAGCATCATCATTTAAAAATCAGTTACTTGTATAAAAATTTCAGTATTGTGTTTGGAATGTGCATATAAAAACCTATTTACTAACACAAAGAATCACTTCCAATGAAACGAGATGTCAATGTCGCATACGGCATGAATATATAGTCCAAGCAGAACTTCAGCGGCTACTTAGCAGGACGCTGAGGTACTGAATCATAGGTAAATTAAAGTACAATTTTCTTCCCCTCACCTTTTTGAAGATGTTCATCCCCAGGTCTGTGGAGAGATCTGGAACTGCTGGTCTACGCAAGTTGGTCAGTGAAACCTTGGAAAATGCCTCTGTGCTTAGTGATTTTTCTTCCTCATTACATTTCATTGTAAGATCCTGCAGTTCCCGAAAGAGGACAGTAAGCACAGGGAGAAGTAGAGGATAATCAGCTTAACAAAAAGAGCTACTTCCAAGAGCTGTCATAGGAGCACTGCAGAGGAAAAGGACCTTCACTTTGTTACACAAAACACATTTAAAGAAAAACAAATAAACAAACCAAGAAAATTCAGCAGGTCTTGGAATTATTGACCTTGCATAACATTTCTGTCACCACAGAAAAAAAGTACAGCATATTGTGCTCCCACAGAAAGCTTCAGCCATTGCTGTCAGTGTGGTATAGTGGTATGGAAGACTCATGTTCTGTTCTACTCTGATTCTGATCCTAGGTATGACTCTGAGTGGCTGACGAGCTTCTTGAGGCCTTGGTTTGCATTTATGAGCAACCACAATGGCTACCCTTTTTGAAGAGTTTTGTTTAAGATCTAAAAGAATATGCCCTTAACATATGCCTTTAAACATATATTTTGGAACTGAACTGCAATAAGCAGCACTGTCCCTTCAAGAGACTTGATCTGTAAAAATTTTATTTACTCACTAAAGAAACCTAAGACTTCTATGTCAGTAAGCATCCTTCACTTGTCTTAACAGTGCTCCAAGATCTGTCCATCACAGTTCTCATCGTAGTTCCTATTTGTGAAAGCCCCTACAGCTACAGCACAGAACGTCCCACGACAGAGTAAACCTTGAGACTAACGTGCTGGAAGTTCAGCAGAGGGCACTCTACTCCCCTTGCGCACCGACCAAAAACACATTACAGTTGCCTACTGCAAAGAAAAGCTTTGCTACAAAAGGTGGCACAAGCTCAGCTCCTGGCCATCTGTTCTCATTAAAGATTTGATGCCGCTTTTCATTAGATACTTGAGCAGCTAACCTGACCAAATTCCCTCAGGTTCATTTTCTTCTGCCTATATATCAGCTTGTTTCCAATGGAGATGCTCTTTATCCTCGCACCTCCCCCCCCCCCCCCCCCCCATTAGAAAGCTTGTCCTAAACAGCTATTTCAAAAGTACCTTTTTGGTCTCAATCCAGAGATAGCCATATGCCAACTATAGATAAAGCAACTACTATGCTACAGGAAGTTTAGATTCTGGCTAGCCAGACTGTGGCCAGAAGTATGCAGTTTTGTGCACATGAAGGACCAGCAGAAGACAGTGGCAGTCTTTGCAGCTGAAGTCTTAAGCATCAGGTACCATGTTTGCAGTACTGGGGACCACACATTCTTCAGAGACTTTTCAGACTAATCAAAGACTACCCTTGAATCCTTCCTATTAATTTTATCAACATAGGACAAAGGAAACACACAACAGAAAGATTTCTCTTCACAGCTGTTTTCAGTCACATGCAGTCAAGGTATTTTGCATATATGACTAAAGATTCAGGGGAGAAGTCATATATAAAACACATCAGATGACAGAACAGGATTCAACCTAGGTTATCTCAACAATGAGGCCAGCATATATTTCATATGGCTTGGTTCTTAGCTTTTACAGCTCTCTGTTCTCTTCTAGCTGGAACACATATGAATTTATTTCATATTCATTATCTTTTGTCTGTTAGTTACTAAATTATTGGGTGGCTTATGGACACCAAATGGACAGAGTGAGGATCAGAGCCTACTGGGGTACAAGCCATGCAAACACACAGAAAGACACAGTCCCAGCTCTGAGATCCGCTTAGGGTAGGTATCAAGCAAACAACACTCAAATCAGTTAGAGAATCACATTAAATGTACAGTGTGGTTAATGAATCAAGCTCACACTCTTGTTGAAGACTGATTAAAAATGTGGCTATTCTGTGCAGTAGGCTATGTGGCAATTATGATATGCACAGGATGGATAAGAAAGCAAAATAGTTTGGGGGCTGCTACTCTAGATTTTGTTGTTTCTGTTTTCTGTTGCCTTGCTTCTCCACGACTGTATGGCTACCAGCTCATTAGCCCTTCTCTCAGCTCTGAAGATATTACACTTGAGACACTTGGCTTTATATTAGCATTGCAGCAAGCACTACAGCTGCATTGGTCTTATGCTCAATTTAAGCTTTGTCTTTTCTGCCCCTGCAACATTAGTGCAAGACTGTAGACGTTTGTGAGCCTCTGAAGGTTTCATTTCCTAGACCTGTCCTTACACTGAATTTACTGCATACAGGTGCAATGTAGGTTTTCTTTTATCACATGTTGCCAGGTCTGAAATATGTTTAGACTAAAGTCACCTTCCAGAGGAAGCTAGTATTCTTTTTATTGATGTTCCATCCAGTACCCCTTTTCCTATGCAACAAGGAGTGCTGGCATGCTGCATTGAATTCTTTCTACTTTGCTGTTTGATTTACTAAGCAATACATGGAGGATATTTTTCATGTTCTCTCCATCCCAGTTCCTTTAGCCCAAGTTTATATTTGAAATGTGACTTCAGGCACACAGAAACCAACAAGAAGTGTGAGAGTTTTTCTAAGGCTTAGGGAGATGCAGCAACTTACCCTGACAAACTGCAGAATAATACCAGAAAAATCTATTGGTCCCTGATGTGATTTGCAGGCAGCCGTTTTTGTCTTGAATCAGTTTCTGCCCGCCACTTTAAATCTATCCCGCTGACACAGAGTGCCAATATTTTCGAGAACTTATTGATCAACCTGAAATGATGACATTGCATTAGGAGTTTAAGATCTAGACCGAAGAAGCAGACTTTAACCATATCCCTGAGTCAGATGAGCTGGTGAGGTCTCAGCATAACAACCCCCTGTGTTGATAGAAGGAAATGACAAATCTTAGCCCTCTGGAGGTGGCATTCTCTTCTCTGACTAGCAGAGAGCCTTGAGTGATGAGACTCTGAATTTAAGAACAGCAGTTAAGTCCCTATGGCTAGCTGAGATGAAACAGAGTCTAGGTTTTTCTGTGTGCTGCAAAGATTTCAGTCCTAAGAGTTGTAAAGAGGAGCACGAGCTGAAACTTTTGCTGCATGGAAGACCGTTTCACCTCCTCCATCACAGCTATTCTGCATAAACTTTTTAAACAGGATTCCAATTTGATGAAGTACAGTAAAAATACACAGCACTGACACAGAGGTTACCAAAAGCAATCAAACCTAGCCCTAGAGGGAAGAATGCCCTGAACAGAATCCTCACATTAACAGCTAGAAAGTACCCAGTGGAATTGCCAAATCGATTTAACGGAAAAATGTTAGTGAAGAGCAACTGAACAAAGGAGTCTTGTGCAAGAGAAACAGCCTGGAAAAGCAAGATATAGCCAAGTGTGTGAAAGGAGAGAAGTATTTCAATGTATAGAGCAGAACCACCACAATACTAGTGCAAACATCGCCTATGGAGGACAATGCCATTGATGCTGCCACTGTGCTGAGAACCACAGACTGCACTCCCTGTTGCACTAATAGCTAAACTTGTTAATGCGCAAAATAACCAGGTTGTTATTAGTGAAGGCAAAGGGACAGTATATGCATGGAAACAGTGAACCACATCAACAGCAATATCTTTCAGTTCTCCCTCCAGGAGATCATACTAAGGAGGGTTTGCTGTACATGCACAGCAATCCTATAAAATCCTGATGCAAAGGTAGATTAAGACTGACTAGCAATTTGTATCACCTGGTCTTTATAGAGATACATCAAGCTTTTACAGGGATGAAACTGGCATCATTTTCTAGAAATGACACTAAAATATAATACAGTTTAAGCAATACTGCTGCTCCTGAGCCCTTAAAATCACAAGTAACCACCAACCCTCACAAACATCATAAGAGTGGCTATAAAATACTGAAACTCAAAAGTAACAGTACTAAGGTTTACATTGTTTATGCTTGTCTTCTGGCTTATGAGCATCTGGGCTGTACAGGAGAAAAGATATTTCATCTTTCTCCCTTATAAAATGACTAGTCAAAAACTGCCAGAGCTCTACAATATTGAAAGCAAGGATTTTAAGAAAAAACACCAAAAATTCTGAGAGTTCTGACTCAAAAAAGACATTTGACAGCAACAGTAACAGAATATAGAGCCTTTTACTTGAAGTGTGTCATAAAATTGGATGGCATAAATAGAATCTGTATTAAATTTTTTTAGGCAGTTCCATCAATTTATTAAATCAGAATTTGCTGTTAAAAGACCACGACAGGAAAAGAGTGCACAACCTAGAAGTAGCACAAATCAACAAGGAGATTAACTGAAACTGCAGCAGTACCCCCTTTTTATCCCTGCAACAACACTGAGCTACCCAAAAGAAAAAGCATATGATCTCCAACAGAAAAATCTTTACTGCACCAAGGTCAGAAGTCTGGGGTCCCTTTTGCAGCAAAACAGGGAGCAAGGCTTGATCCCTATTAGGACAGTCTGTCTACTGAGGTTTTGTTGGCAAATATAAAAGTTACACAATAAGAACAGCAGCAGGAGAAGAGGTAACGACATGGAGGGCTTTCGCATACTGCCACTGTTTGCAAAGTCTACTCCAGTATTTTAACCCAAGTGTTTGCCTGGTGTGTGTAGTGCTGTACCAAGTACAATTCCTTTTCTCTCTTTTGAGGGGTTACGCCAAAGAAGCTCAGTGAGTCCTGAGCATTACACTGTTACTCAAAGGCAGTCTGATTTCTTCTGATAACTACATCAGTATATTTTCACATTAAAAAATAATTGTATCACAGTTCACCCTAGATTAATTATCCCAAATCAACTGTCAGGCTTTCAGCAGTCACCAGCTCTGACTCTGCACCAGATTCTGTCTCAGAAAGCTTCATCGCTCTCAGGGTCTCTTTCTGAATCGATGCACATATCTGACCCTCCAGCCAGTTTAACCAACACCAAAGCTGTGCTTTTCACTAGTGCAGCTGTCACTTCCCAGCATCACCACAACAGTTGCTATTTTCTTACTGATGGCAACTGCTTACCTGAGTTTTGTGGGTATTCACCAGAGAAGGTGCAGCAGCCACCATGGAGCTGCTGCGAGGTCTTGGTAAAGGGATGATCTCTGGCTCAGGTGGTTTCTCCGGCTTTTCCTGTAGCATATGCCTCAGCCTCTGCAGGTAGTACATTAGTGACCACTGTGTGCCCTCCTCGGACCAATGTGGCTGCAGAAGGCAGCGCAGCACTGCCACATCAAAGTATGTGGCATAGCGAGACTTCTGGCATGGCGGGATCACCAAGGACACCCTGTTCCAAAAAGTAGGAGTAGGAATGTTAGTCGCCAGGCTCCTTAGTCATTCTTAGATAGCTCTCTGAATAAAGAACCACTCCACAATGATCTGTCAAGTTTGACGTTCAACTGTTCTTAAGGGTTCACTCTTGATACTACAAAGCTTTCTTTGATAGTTGGAAACCAGCTCTGTCCTAGCATACGTGCTGGTCCACTCCAAGAAGACTCCAGAGCTCTACAAAGAGGCCTAAAATTTAGCCACTTATCAAGAGCCGTAAGCCATCTGCAGAAATCACCAGGATGTGCATACAGCTATGCCTGCTTGAGCTTGCAGGGACATTTGACACCAACCCTTTGGGACTAAGGCCCTGACTGAGGAAAGCATTACAGAAGACACCTAAGTAGATATTTAGCTTTCAGCTCCCTAGAGAACTCAAGTACATGCTTTGCTACGTGTTTTCTTGGATAGGATTGCTTTCTTAAACTGTGGTCTGAAGATAAGCCTCCAGCACCTGCACTAACTGAATAACCTGTTCAGCTGGAAACAGACAACTCTTGAGCAGCTGTTGTTCAGGTGTATATGCAGTATATATTTAGGAATGGTTTACATTTGTACACATAAGGCCTTATTTAAGAAGGAGCAGGCAAGGCAGCTAAGTTAGTCAACCCTTTAAACCAATTAAATTGATTCTCATACAAGTAAAAGTTACTGTTATGGACACTGTTTTCCAATGTGTTCTAGAGAAAAGGACCATTTTTAGCCTTCGTTATCATTTTCATGCCTTTCAGGTGGTGTCATTTCCTGATGGGTTTTAGTACGGAATATCATAGGTATTGTAGAACTTAGTGCATACAAAAGCAAGATGTCTGTAGTAAACCTCAGGAATGAGACTCCAGATATCTCAGACTTCAGTGGGTCATATCTGTTTTCAGAGCCAGTCTTCTTGTAGTAAAATGCCCCAACTTTTCATTCCTTGTTTTTTACACCACTTCTCTCCCAGCGGAGTCCAATTGGCCTGATCTACCCTCTGTACAGTCACTAGCTGTTATAAGACAATCTGTCAGAAAAGAAGCAATGAAAGGGAGTGGGAGTATGAGAATCATATGGCAAAAGTAGGTGTGAAATGCTGGGGGTGGGGCAGGAACTCTGGAGATCTATTTCTTTTTGTCTGCAGAAGTACACAATTTGAATGTTTCCACTTAGTGTCTTAGAAACACACCTCCATGAACTGAGTACTTCTGTGATTTTTGGATTCTACAAAAATCAACAGCACTTCCATGAATTGTGTTCTCAGGCATTTGCGAATCATCACAAGAACATAAATATTTTTTTTTTTTAAAAAACCTTTACAAAATCAATTCTGCTAAACAACATGCAAACAGCATTGGTGGGACACCTCCATCTCCAGCTAGGTACCACCACATTCTGAACAGAGGCGTCCAAGGCCACAGTCCAGGAAAGCATTAGGGAACAAGAGGCAATACTGCCCAGAGAAACATCTAAGTGCTTAAAGTGCATGCTCCAAGTGCTTTGCTGGCTTGCTGCCCAGTGCCACAAAGCTGCCCTGTGAAGGAAGGGGTTAAAAGGGATTTTACTAGAAGTAGCATTACCTAATAGTTGCTGTGCATTTAAAAAAAAAAACTGATAGTGCTCATCTATTGTGTATATTAACTGAAGCAGAGAGTCTTGCATCTCCATACAAAGGGGTTAGTTCCTGATAGGGGCTGGGAGTCGCCTAGAACCGGTTAAGACCAACACTGCTGTATGGATGGGAGCCAGAAGAGAACTGAGTTTGCGCAGAAACAAAGGTCAATCAGCGAACACCGTGATGAAGAGGATGAGCCTTCATCTTGGGACCCCCGACGACCACCACTAGGAGGCACTGTGCAAGCGCAGCTGGGAGGAGTCTATG